ACCCCTGTTCATTCGTTGAACGAATTGGGTTCTCCGAAAACTCGGAGGATCGTGTGTCGAGTTCTGCCGTGGATTGTTGACCTTCGTGCCTGGGTACGAGGGAGTTGCTGAAAAGCGCAACCTTGTATAAATCCTGGGTTTCTGAAGCTAGCAACTCGGCTCTTATCGGCATATAATGAACCCCACGGAGATATTTTGTGGAGCTCTCGCTGCAATTGGCTTAAACACCTCAAGACATTCCTCATTCAGTGTACAAGATTTGTTAATTGAAGCCGAAAATGATCCTTGCTGCTCTGTATGTGTAGGAGGAAATGGTCGGCTAAAGAGTTGTCACGACGGAGGTTTCCGATGTGACGTGGAATTCCGTCGCTGCAAGGTATGCTAAGTGAGGACCCTCAGATGAGTTGCTTACTCGTCTCTGTCGCCGTTACCATGGAGCCACTGGTCCGTCAGAAGTTTGACGCTTTGACTCAAAACTTCACTCCCGATCAACAAAATAGTCGACGATACAATAACGAGCTCCAAACGCTTGCTGTGATCCCTCTACACGTGTTATTAAGTCGACAACAAGATGCTACTGAGCAATCTCTACAGCCCAGTAAACTAGAATTTACCAAGTCACCACGTGTGTTCGCATGTTCAAGAATCTCTTGAATTTCCCCCTTTCAAAATAGGTATCGATTACTACAGGTAATTGAACACTTAATAACCTTCTATAACAGTTTCTGAAACTGAGAAGTCTCTTTAAATAAATCAAAATGAATGGCCAGGAGGCGCTCAGTAGATCCCGACAGACGAGATGCCACGGTAGTTGCAATTCTTCTCGAGTAGTGAGCAAGCGATAATCACTTGGTTTGCGTATGGTAGTGATGGTATGAGATTGCCGAGTGGAATTTGATGCCTCAGGTGCCTTCTCTGGAGAGTGTAATGCCTTCTCGGAAGCTGCTGCGGTTGGGTGTCGCGTTCTACCGGGGAAAGCTGGCCTTCGTGCCTGGGTGGGCCAGGGAGTTGCTGAAAAGCGGCACCTTGTGTGTAGATCCTGGGCGTGAGGCTAGCACCTCGGCTCTTATCGGCATA